TAATAATGACAATGGCAATGCTTTGTCATTATACATAACTACCCCATATACAACCAACCAAAAGTAAGCTTTTCTTCCTACGGAATAGGTGACAAAGCCTTTTGAGAAACACTTAATATTTTAGTGTTCCATAACTTAAATATGATCATATAACTTTATAATACTTAGCCACTGACACATCTTTATTTTATTTTATTTTGGTTTTTCAAGACAGGGTTTCTCTGTGTAGCCCTGGCTGTCCTGGAACTCACTCTGTAGGTCAGGCTGGCCTTGAACTCAGAAATCTGCCTGCCTCTGCCTCCCAAGTGCTGGGATTAAAGGTGTGCGCTATCACTGCCCGGTGCCACTGACACATCTTAACTGGTTGTACATTGCTTAGTTAAGTAGAAGAAAAGAAGCAGATACTTGCTTAGGGCATGTATGTGTCGTCACAAAATAGGACAGAAAAACACATGGCAGTTCTAAGCCTCATCTGTAACTGGTCACATGGCCTCTTCCTCTTACTTCCTCCACCCTCAGAAATCGCCTTAGTGGATCTTAGTTCTTTACTGGAGGGAGGCGTCACGCCTTCATTCCTGGAAGGTCTTACCATCCTGCCAGCAGAACACAGGCCATGGAAACACAAAGCAAAAACATCGATAGTGGACCACTGAGAGTGCTGATAGGCAATACTGTTTCTAATCCCACACCTTGATTCCTGTGCCTGGGAATCCTCATTATTGGAGAAAAGTTACCATGTACTGGGCATTGGTTCAGAATATATATACATATATATATCTTCTGGAGAACCCTGCTTCAGACATCCAGGCTATTGACACCTAGTTGGTCCTGTGTCTCTGTCTTTAAAAGGCCATTCCAGTTCTTACACGCAGCAAGTTCTTTATATGTCAGCCATCTCTTTAGCCTCCCTGACTGAATATATGCTAAAACAAATATGAGGGGGGAAAGCACATCACACTAGGCAACTAACTAAAAGAATTAGGTTCAAACAGAGAAAAACTTTGTTGTTCTAGGATCAGCTGTTAACTCTTTCTCCTCCCTCTAATTTGCCTGCCAGCTTGTTCATTAGTGACCTTTGGACTAATGAAGGCATCTATGTGGAAATCTAAAACAATTTAGAAAACTTTCAGTTTTCTTGAGGCTTAGGTGGCATTATTAATGTAGTTTACAATGAGGGTAAGAAACAGATAAAGAAATTACAACCCCTGGAAAATGTTCTATAAGAAAACATTACTTAGTAGATATTTTAGGATAGCCTTTTCTTCTACAATAAAAGTTAACTTTATAAAAAGAGAGAGCCTAGAGATATATCTAAGTGGATAAGAGAACTTTCTGCATAATCATGTGGCCCTGAGTTTGGAAGCCAGCAGTCATGTCAGAAGTTAGGTGTACCTGTGACCCTGTGTGTGCTAAGCAAGGTTAGAGGATCACTGGGGATTGCTGGCCACCATTCTAACACTAGGTTCAGTGAAAGATCCTGTCTTCTGTCACAAAGAAAAAAAGGCAGAGAGTGGTATAAGACACAGGCATTCTCCTTTGTCCTCCATATATGTGTCTATAGACTGTTCTCTATCTTTCTCTCTTTCTCTCTCTCTCTCTGTGTGTGTGTGTGTGTGTGTGTGTGTGTGTATGTTTGTCTGTCTCTACCTATGTCTCTGTCTCTCTGTCTCTGTCTCTCTCTCACACACACACACACATACACACAGACTGAGAGAGAGAGAGAGAGAGAGAGAGAGAGAGACCCCAGAAATTGGCCAGGAAAGTTACATAGAATGACAACTACAGTAAGAAACGTTTATGATAAATTTCAGAGGACAGTGGGAAAGTATCTTCAAAGATCTAAGGCAACAAAACTGCTAATCTAGTGTGTTATACCTAGCTAAACTAGCATTAAAGAGCAGATTAAAAACAAAAGCATTTTTAGAAATATTTTTTTAAAAAAGTTGTTTTTGTTTTTGTTTTTTTAAAAAGTCTTGACTCTTCACAAAACGAATCACTAAAAGCTGGGTAATAAGAAGAAAAACAAGTCTGAAGGTAAGGTACAGAAGTTAAGAAATTATCATAGACTCAGAAATCCATCACAAGCACTTCTGATATCAATGGACTGCAAAAACAAAACTGAAGTTTAAATGAAGATTGGGAAAATCTGAAGGGAGGGGTAATGCTCATCTGGTGGTGTCCGTGTGCTCGTCTTGTTCACCAATAACCCTTAGACTCTGACAGCATTTATAGTTATATTTTGTCACACTAAGTACAGAATTTTGTCTCTGAGATTTTCTCCCTGATGCCCATCACACTGCCCTCCTGCCACTGAATGGTCTAGGTATTCTCAGTCATAGAGATTTTAACAGGCTGCCCAGAGCTTTCATAAAAACCAGGTAAAACTCCATTTATTTTGTTTATTCTTTTTGATTTATGTCCAATTTCCAAAGTGTACTTGAGACGGTTTACAATAAAAGACATATGTACAATAAGTTGGTTGAATAAGAAAGAGAAATTTAAATCATAGAGAACGAAAGGAAAATAATTATGCCAGAAACCTGAGTTAATTGCTTATTGTAATTGAGCATTAAATTTGTTCAAGGTTTTCTGGCAGCTAACAGGAAAAAAGAGGAAATACAAAGGTAACATGATGGCTGCAATTTGCCCTTAACTACTTTACCAGGCTACAGAGGGCTAGAGAGCACTTGGGTTACAGTCCAGCCTGGGGAGCAAAAAGTGGGGGTAAGTCTGTGCAGGTTGCTACAGTGTGTCCCATCCATGTCCCATCCTTCCTTCTTCCCAACTGTAGCAACAAACTGGACAGCTTTGGTTTGAAACCTGACTAGAGTAAGGACTCTCAGATTAAAGACTTAAAAAAAAAAAAAGGGAGTAGAGATTCAGACAGCATAGCAGTTAAGACACATACTGTCCTCTCAGATAACCCAAGTTTGGTTCCCAGAACCTACATCAGGCAGCTCGTGTCTGCCTGTAACTCCAACTCTAGAGGACCTTACACCATTTGCTAGCCTTTGCAGGCACCTGCACTCACATGTACACAGTCCCACACGGACACATATGGCTGAAAAGAAAATAGAATAAAATAAAATCTTAAAATGTTTTTGAAATGTTCATGTATAAAAATATGTATTGGGGCTGGACCAATGGTTCAGTCTGTAAAATGTCTACTGTGCTAGCACGAGAACCTGAGCTCACATCCCCAGCATCTATTTAAATTCCAGGTGTGGTGGCAACTCCCTGGAACCCAGCATCGATGGGGCAGAGCCAGGCAGATCCTGGAGCTACCTGGCCACCCAGTCCAGCCAAATAGAAAGCTCCGGGTTCAGTGAGAAGTGGTCTCCAAAAATAAGATATCAAGAGGGGAAGGCATCATCCTCTATCTCCATACATGTAAACCCATACTCATCCCTGCATGCATGTGTGTGTGCTCACGTATGTGTGTACACACACACATACATGCACGCACGCACGCATGCATACACGCACGAGCACACACATGTACATGGCCACACATAAACACAGAATAGTACATTTGAAACACCTATTTATTGAGGATTAGGAAAATACAGAAAAGTATAAAGGAGAAAATATAATTATCTGACAATCCCATTTGAAAACAATTGTGATTAATTATAAGTTAACTTCCTTTTTTTTTGTTTTGTTTTTTGAGACAGGGTTTCTCTGTGTAGTCCTGGCTGTCCTGGAACTCACTCTGTAGACCAGGCTGGCCTTGAACTCAGAAATCCGCCTGCCTCTGCCTCCCAAGTGCTGGAATTAAAGGCATACACCACCACCACCCGGCTAACTTCCATTTTTAACGTAAACTTATATTAGCTCATTTCTTACTATATTCTTTCTATCTGGATGATTCTATAAGCTTGCGATCTTTGACTCAAGTCATTTTTATTTATGATAAAACCAGCCAGCCACTACCCATAGATGGCCCTGTGAGGTAATTGTCTCGCTTCATAAAAAGTTTGTGTCTTTTCCAATACGCGAGAGGATGCCTTCCCTGTGTACAGAGTTATATAATTTGTCTAAATCACACAGCACTAAAGGAAGAGCAAACCCACAAGTTTGGGTGTGTCTGTAGCACATTCACTTCAGCAGATGTTCAGTTACTCAGAGACAGACTCCCTCCAGCCGGCTGTGACCCCTGGGAACAGGAGTGTCCGATGTGGGATGAGCCCAGTCAGGAGCCCCAGCCAGCCAGTACAGAGAAGGAAGGAGCTCTTTCTGCCCCAGCTCTTCTCGCCTTCCTACCTTCTCCACATGCAAGAAGCCAGGAAACTAAACTACCTAGACTGCAGGTTAGCTCGTAGATACCTACGTGGGTTTTGGCATTGATAATTTAATCCAAACTTTTCTTTTCCATGGGGATCAAATTACAAGAAGGTCACAACACTCGGTTCTGTTGTTCTCAGTCCCAACAGTGCCAGAGAGGGTGTCGAATTTTGTTGTTGTTGCTCAGACTGTGGTTTATAATTGGAACTTTGTGCAGACACGGTTTTCTTCTCTCCCGGGCACTCTGATTCGTGCTGAAACGCCTCTCATGCACAAGTCATGACTGAAGCATCCTGAGCAGCTCTCGAGCAGTCACTGAAAGAGCCACTTCCTTGGGCAGATCCAGGCCACAAAGTTGTTGGGGAACACTGGTTGCCACCCCCTAAAGGGACAAGCCTGTTGCGAATAGTCTAACACCAGCAAATTACCCAGGAGTCAGGGCCACCCTGGGCTGAAAGTAAGAGTCTTTCCCCCTGTCCTTTGCTCCTTGGGGGCCCTATGAGCTAAGTCCTGAGGAGTCAAGTAGTCTAACTGACACGGGCTCTTGGTTGGCCCCGTAGTGAGATTGATCCAAGGTGAACGTTTGCCGAGCGAGCGAGGCACTCTGCCGCAGCTGGGATAGGTCGAGCTGGTGTGCCAGTGGGTGAGTCAGCGACCGAAATGCCCTCTCTTCATTGCGTAACTCTAAACACAGGCTTTGCCTTCCCGATAATCACTCCACTGGCGGTGGCACAGCAGGGCCTATTTCCTGAAGGCATGCGTGGGAAAAAAAAGTTTTCCAGGCAGACTTAGACACCCAGGCTTCCACGCTGTAAGGAACAGCACTTCCTTCCTCTCCAGCACTGGTGATACCATTCACAGCAAAGCGTGAAGATGGCCTTTCTGATGCACCAAATGGCAGCTGGCTGTAGTGACTCATGCTTGTGGCCCCAGCACTCCGGAGGATGAGGCAGAAGACTCATGAGTTTGAGTCTAGGGCTACACATTAGGACTCTGTGTCAAAGCAAACCGATAAGCCGGCAAACAAATATCAAGGATGAAGAACCGACAGCAACAAAAGGAAATACATAAAGTGCTGAACGCGTGTTACATCCTTCTCTATACCTGGCTACAGTGACTCATATATTCTGCCCATTATACAGGTGAGAAAACTGAGGCTTGAAGTTAGATGATATTCTTTCTCTCTTTTTCAGTACTAAGAATTGAATCTTGGACCTCATACTTGCTAGACACCGAGCTGTATCCCCAGTCCTAAATAATGTTCCCAATGTTACAGACCTTGTAAGAGTCTGAGTCCAGGAATTCTAGGGTTTAAAATTTTTTTTAATTTTATGTATATGAGTACTTTATTATATATGTATATTTTATTTTATGTATATGAGTTTTGCCTGCATTTACGCATGTGTACCACATGCTGGCTGGTGCCCTTGGAGGTCAGAAGGTGTTGCTGGATTCCCTAGAACTGGAGTTCTGGTTGTAAACCACCCTGTGTGTGCTGGGAATTGTACTCGAGTCGTTTGCAAGAGCAATAAAGTGTTCTCAACCACTGAGCCATCTCTCTAGCCCCACATTCTAGTTTCTTAACAGCTTGAAAGTTCATGTGACAGATGGGATGGGATGGGAGAAACCACAAATCCAAAGAAAGTATCCTCCATCAGATGGCCTGTCAGATCCAAAGGGGCTCCTCTTAGAGACTGATGCCTGCCATGCCACACTTCAGCCTTGCTGACTCTGTAGAAATCACGGCTGACTTCCAGGAAGGGGAGAAAGTTCCTGTGCTGCCCATCATTGTTTGGTATTTGGGGTGAATGTGAACGACTCATTGTGATGCCATTGGGGATGGTGATTATACTACAGAGAGGCCTCATTGAGTATTTCTCCTAATGCCGGATTCTCTTCTGTGGCTAGTGAAGCACTTATGCAATCCAGGATCATCTCTGCATTCTCAAGTCCACTAGCTTGAATCTACCGTGATTCTGATTCTCTCTCGTTACATGACATATGTATGGATTAGGGTGGTGACATCATTAGGCAGCCATTACTCTGCCTAGCACAGGCCTCAAGTGGAAAAGCCAAGACTCCCTTATCTTAGTTAAGGTTTCATTGCTGTGAAGAGCACCATGGCTAAGACAACTCTTATAAGGGCAACATTTAACTAGGGCTGGCTTACAGGTTCAGAGGTTTAGTCCATTATCATCATGGTGGGAAGCATGGCATCATGCAGGCAGACATGGTGCTGGAAGAGCCAAGAGTTCTACATCTTGATCTGAAGGCAGCAAGGAAGGAGATCTAGATCATGCTGGCGGGACTATGAGATCTCAAAGCCCCACCTCCACAGTGCCACACCTCCTCCAACAAGGCCACACCTCCTCCAACAAGGCCACACCTCCTAATAGTGCTACTTCCCTTGGGCCAAGCATATTCAATCCACCACATCCCTTTTATGGTACTCTTGGTCTAGCCGAGAATAGGCTAAGTAAGGGGTAGCCTCTGCTAGGAATATTGGGAACTTGTTTCAGAGAAAACACTTGGGAAGCAAGTTTCAGACAGTGTCTCACTGTAGGCAACTCATCATTTTCCTGCCTCAGTATCCAAGTGCTGGTATCACAGGTGTGTTACCATACCTGGCACATGATTTGTTCCAAAGAGCTATAGACACACCCTTCTCCTCCTGTCGCCATTGCTGTTGCCTTTGTCATCTTTATCTTTTTTCTATGTGTTTTGGAGACCAAACCCAGGCCTCATGCTTCGGTAGGTGCACGCTGCCCTGCTGAAGACAGCCCTAGTCTTTGCATTTGTATCTTGAAAAACTGGGAACACCCCCAAGACTAGAGCTGCAATGTGTTTGGTCCTCATTAAGACCTAGCAAAGAAGGGCCTTATGTGTGACCTGGCTGACAGAATCTGGACCCCCCCCCCCCCAACAATGACCACGTGAAACAGATGAAAAGATGAATGTTCTCTGCAGTTTATGCAGTTCTAAAATCTAGAACATTCTCTAAACTGTGTGTCTTGGATCCATTAGGAATTCTACTTAAAGCCAGCTTTAGCCTGTGGGCCCATTTACATACAACCCGGAGCAGTGTATCCTCTCAATCCTCTCCCTTCATCCTGACACATCCCTGTGAGGAGGCCCCTGCTTCATCTCAGTCAGGGCTTATGGGGGTACATATATTTTTCTTTCTATTCTGCTTTGGTCATCTCTTGCTGTTGCTCTGTGGGAGCCTTAAAGGGTTTAATTTTAAAACCAAAGCATATTTTAGAACTTTGGTATGTCTAAGTCCCTTCCGGATCATGACAGCTGCTCTCTGTGGACCCCTCACTCCATGTGTCCCTGGCCAGGTTGTTGACCTTTCTCTGTCTCCCTCCCATCTGCAACAGGCTAATGACAGCACTCCCAATACAGGGCTGGAGGGAGCAGAGGGTGCACTAGGCAACAACCCAAGGAGAGTAAAGCCGTGAACATCTTAGCTGCCATTCTTATCTGAAACCTCCTCTCTCAACCACAGAACAAGCCTATTTTCTTGTTGTTTTTGTTTGTTTTCTTGAATTTAGGACTGAGACAGGGGCTCACTATTTAGCCTTGGCTGGCCCAGAACCTACTTTGTAGACCAGACTGGCCTTGAACTCACAGAGATCCACCTGCCTCTGCCCTCAAGCACTGAGATTAAAAGCATTTGCCACCGTGCTGGGCAGAGCCAGCTTTAGATGCCACTAGAGTGTTGCATTTATACCACCCGAGAAAACACAGTTTAAAGCAATGTGTCTTCTTGTTCTTTCTATAGTAATGTTACGCCTTCAAGGGCCGTTTCTTACGGTAGAGGGCAGACACGAAGGCATAGGAAATGGGTAGATGACAGGCAAACAGAGAGCTTGACACCAATGTCAAGGACAAAATAAAGCTTGTCTGCACAGGCTGAATTAGAGACACTTGGCAGAGTGGTTTTTCTGTGAGCTATTTGGTACCTAGTGTTTGCCCAGATCCTAACCCAAACTCAAGCTGGAACTTCCTGGATGGCACCACCTTGCCCTGACAGACAATCTGAATTTATTAACCCAAAATGCCTCCCAGGCAATCCTGGTCAAGACCTCTCTACCCTGATTATCAAACCTTCATGCTCCAACTCACCGGTCCGCACTGTCACAGCTTTGACTAGGGCTGTCCTTCAGTTTCATAAAGAAGTACTTCCCCCAGATCCCTTGCAACCCCAAAGCCACTTTGTAAACTTCCCGTAGGGTGTCCTGGTTCCACTGGCACCAATGGTTACTCAGGCTGCCTCCTGGCAGAAGAGTTCCCGAGCCTGAAGACCTTGGCTCTCAGTGGCACACACATTCACAGACTCCTCCAAGGTGCACCCCTGCGTGAGAGCTCTCTGTGAGTTCGGCTCTTACACCAGTCTCTGCTGAGGAAAAGCCTTGGACATCCAGCTAGGAAAGCTGTCAGAGTCTGTTTTGCACAACATCAAACACATTCCAGACCTTATCTAATCAGGGAGACTTCTTCAACAGCCATGCAGAGGCTGTTCCTGCAAAACATTCCCCAGGCAGGGCGAGGGCCTTGATTCTAAAGGCAAAGTAATGGCTCTTTTGGCACAGGCAAAGTTGGCTGGCAGCTGGAGTTTTGAGGTAACCTCTGACCCTCTCCCACAGTTCCTCCCAAGTTCCGCTGCACCGTTCTAAGCCACCCTCAAATCCCAGGCTCTAATTGGCTCTGGTTTGTTTTGCTTTTCTCTTCTGTCCAGTGCTTCAAAAGGCACTTCAATAATTGTTTGAGGCACGAAAAAGGCAGGGTTCAGCTTTCCTAACTGGAATTGGAGGTAATTACTGTCTTCCATACGCAAGCCGGGACATGCTGCAAATCACATGGCTCCGGGTTGCTTTACAGCGGGTGGCCGGGCCTCCAAGCTACAAGGAGGATTACAGAGCTTCAGTAAGGTTCTGCTTCTGAGAGAGAAGAATCCTCTCAGAAATGTTAGAGGAGTTGTCTATACTCTTCTTCTGTCTCCTTGAGACTGCCTGAGAGGTTTGGTCTGAAGAGACTATGACTTCAACTCCACCCTGGAAGTTTGGGATTTGCTTTTTTATTTTGTTTTCTCTCAAGAGACAGGAACTGACCCCACACATAACTCCCTTCTTGTTTGAAATTAATAACCACATGTTCGACCTAGGCTGCCCAACTTCAGAACAGAACTCAATGTAGTGAGGCTAAGACCCACCTCAAAGAACCAGAATAAGGATTCATTTTGTGCATTCAAAACAGCAAACCCAAATGTGGAGAGTCTCTGGATTACTCCTCTTATGATCCATATGTGGACCCAGAGGACCTTGTTTAACTGATCAGCTGACTCACAGGAACTCACGAAATGGGAGCAGTAGCTGACCCAACCTCAGAGAGTATGTGAGGTCCACATGAGGTTAGCCCACGTGAAGTGCCTGTTTGAGATCTGTATCTACCAAATGCTCAATACATGTTAGCTAACATTCATTCTCAGGGCAGGGCTTCTGCTGCCAAAGGAGCCAGTCTGAACAGAGCCCCTGTGAAACAGTAGGAAGCAGGAAGGGACAGGATACTAGCCCCAGTCTGAAGTGTCTTCCCTCCCAAGGAAATTGTCTTAAACACCTGAAGTTGCCTGTGACTCCAGATTGGAGAGTCTTCCTACTGCCTCTGGTCCCCTGGACATCTCAAGAAACATGAACTAGCCCTGTTCCCTTAGCACCTCCCTGCTTAGAAGCACTGAGAAGCAGTGGGTTTGGGTTGAGTTAGAAACTGAAGAAGGAAGAAAAAGGTCATCTGTTCAAATTCTGAGACCCCAAAATTGCTGGCCGGGCTTATGAGAAGACAGAAGACAGGACTCAAGTGTATTCTAGGGCCCTGGGTGATCCAGGGAGATACCTCAGTCTCAGCCTGGCTCTCACTTGCCGTCCCGAATGATCTCATCCAGGTGGAAGGCTGCTGTCCCCGATGTGCTGCTGTCCCTTCCCTTTGCAATGTCCTCCTCAGAACTCTCAATGTCCTCTAACCTTGACTCCAGGTCATTGAAACCAATCAAACCCCACAGCACAGCAGGGCCTCGGAGGAAACTCCCTCTGAGCAGACGGCCTTTCCAGGCTGCACATTTGCCTTCCATAGACCTAAAGACAATGCACAGGCACACACTTATCTGTGTATTTGTCTCATATCTATTTCTAGATAAACTAAAGTTCATGTGAATGAGGCCAAGTTTCTCTGTCCTTTCTTCTTTAACACAGATGACTGTTTGCCTGTGAACTTTCCTTATTTTGTTTATGCAGATCTGAGTGATTGAATACGGATCTAGTAGGTCCTTTCCGTATATTTGCTGACTGAATGACTTCTTTCTTTGACTATCTGTCTCCCTCCTTCCCTCCCCTGACTCTCTCTGTGGTTATGGTACTGGGAATTGAACCCAGGACCTAGATCACATTAGGCAAATGTTCTACCACAAGCTATATTCTCAGCTCTGAATCCATGATTTCAAAACAGAGACAGTTCCTGTAGTGGGGAAGAGTTTCTGGGCACAAAGAGAGCCTGAAAAAAAACACTTGAAATCACATCTTGTTTTTCTCAAGTGGGGCCATTTGGCTTTGTCTGCCTTGTATTTGATGAAGTTTCGTGTTTAATAACAGCCCTGAATTGTTAGGATAAACACACCAGGCACAATCATGAACTAGTTGCAAGCTCAAATGCCTGAAACAGGGCGTGCCTACAGTGTATTCACAGACATGGTTGACTCTCAGTTATCCACTCCAGCACATAATCTAATAGCCAGTAATCTAATAGTTTACAATTTAATATCCTACAGCCATGAAAGTTTTACATGTGGTTTTGGACTATGTTTCTGAATTTGCATTGGATATAGGCGGCTCTGAGAGCCTAAGAATTCATCTGAGCTCCTATGTCTGTCACTATTGCCTCGATGGCCTAGACAGAACCCTCCTGGGCTCCCAGCACATGCAGAAAAAATACTGCATTAAGCTTGGGGGTTGGGGGGAGCATATTACCCTTCAGTCACAAAAGCTATCGGTCCAAATCCCAGCTCCTCCATGTGCCAGTCTGTCTTTGTTCTCTCATTGCTATCTACCCCCCCCCCAAGACTGTTTCAAAACATAGTTGAGCTTTCAGGAAAAAAAAATGAGTCTGAACTGCCCCGTCAGGTGGGTACACAAGCCAATCTAAAGCTGAGCTTGGCTCCCTGCACACTTTCTGTTTCACAACTGGGGAGAGGTTTATTTCTTCTCTTTTTCTTTTTAAATTTTTGTTTAGTGTGTATGTGTGTGTGTGTGCGTGAGTATATGTGTACATATATGTACATGTTTGAATGTATGTGCCACAGACTGTTCTCTCTTCCAACCATGTGGATCTGGGGATTTGGTTCTTTGGGCTTGGAAAAAAGCACTCTTACTGACTGAGCCATCTTGCCACGCCCTCACTGCCCATTCTTCATCCTTATCTCTTTCTGTCTTAACTTATCTTCTCTTCCTGGCTCAATGGAAGGTAGTCAACAGGTCTTTGGTTTGAAAACCATTCCTGTTTATAAATGTTCTTGATTCTACCAGTACACTTCAGAAAGGACCACTGTCCTGAGCAGTCTGGTGTTGAGCTGGCCGAGGGGTCCCGTGCTATACTGGCTGCACTGCAGGGTCAAACTGTGAGGACTTTCTCCTTGATGGGGCATATGTCTATCTGGGCATGTGTTTATGCTGACTTGGGTCAAAATCCCAAGGCTGCAAAGTGGAGACATCCTGAGATCCAATGCAGAGCCAATTGTGTTGTCAGTGAGTAGCTGGAAACCCAGAATTCCCACCTCTTTTTCCTGTCACGAAGTTATATCTCGAGGTAAAACAGCTGCCGGTTCTCAAGCCAACTGGGACGGACGCCAGCTGTTTATTCCAGATGCCAAGAACCAGATGCACACCCACTCTCCTCTCCCACTCCCTAAGCCTGAAGTCTCAAATTTTATTGAATTTATTAATAGCCTTAAGGGTTTGCTAAAAGAGCTTTCCTACAGGCTCTGCCTCCAGAGAAACAGACCTCCTCAGTTCTGGATGGCCAGGAAATCTACATGTTAAATAACAACACTCCCATCCTGTCTTGTCTCCCTAGAATTCCAGTGTAACCCCTCTGAGAATTACATATGGAGAGACAGATACTTGCTACGGCGGAGGCACTGGTAGGTTGGTAAATGCATGGCAATCAGCGAGTGTGGGAGTCTGATTTGTAGTCTGCCAATATCTATGGTGTAAATAGTCTCACTACTATCCGTCCAAGCCACCATGTCACCATGCTTATGAAGGTGGGACAAGGCGTGGGCACACCCATAGTTCTAGCATACCATACGGTGGTGACTTTCCACGGAAGCTTCTGGATGGCTCTGAATGCTGGTTCCTGGGCTCTTAGTATAAGATGCACACCCTCTGAATCTTTCCTTATGCCCTTAAGTCTGCTAATGGTTTGCTTTGGTGACTGGTTTCCAGTGTTCTCACAGGGTTCCAAATCAGAAAAAGAGGGAGAAGGAAGAGGAAGAAGGGGAGGAAATTCAGTGAGTGTGGGATGCAGGCTTCCGTACACTGCTCATTTGGTTCACGTGACTTTTAGTGGGAAGGGTACCCTCACACACCTGCTTCTAGCCCCATTTGATAAACTCTCTGGTCCTCTTGCATCAACTTGATCCTGTTGACCTGGAGGAAGATGAAAAGACTGGATGCCAGCAGACCTGAAAGGAGGGAAGTGGAGGGAGGAGGTCCGTGGGGTGCTCCTATGACCCAAGGTCACTGGCCACTTAAGGCCTTCCCTTTGTTTCCCAGCTCTGGCCCCATGTTTGAAGGTTTTGGTGATTTCCTCCCACCCCCAACCAGGCAAACAGATGTGGAAAGGTCTCCAGTTCCCAGGGCTCAGGACACAGCTGTCTGCTGCCCCCCACCCCTGCCTGTAGACCTAGGTCTGCCCTCAGACAGAAGAGCCACACAGTCACTAACCACAGGGCCGAGACCAGTCAGGTGTAGGGTTCAAGCCTGCTCTGCACTTCTGCCAGCTAAACTATGCAAGAATGGAGAAATGGCATCTCCTGCTCTGTGCTAGGAATCTCCAGGCATTGTAGAAGAGGTGAGACCCCAGTCCTGCCACACAGCCTGTGGGCCTGCTGTTCTCTAGACACATCTCGCACATACTGTTGGCATGAGTACCTTGCCAGCCCTGGCCTGGAGCAGGAAGGAACCCTACTGATCTTAAATGGGTCTCTTCTGCATCAGCTGAGCTATACTGCCCATCAGATGAAGGGGAGCTAGCTAGGAGGGGTGCAAGTGTTAGCTTCCTCATCTGCTATATATTCAACACTGTTCATCCTCGGAACTTCCCAGAGACTTACCAATGGGATAAACAAAAGCACGAAGATTACCCTAACTGACCTTAAATAAAGAATCCGTTACACATCTAATCTAACCACTGGAATACACTGCTCTTTAGTGATAGTTTTCTTTTTGTAGGAGAGGTGGCCTTTACAGCTGTGCACAAAGGCTTGGTGCATGAATGTCTTAGCGCATAGCAGTCACCTTAAAATGGGACACGTAATACAATGTCACATGTTTCTGGAAGCAGTGGCTCTCATGGTGAGTCTGGGGAAACTTTGTAGCCCATGAGATACTATCAGAGTGTCTGCAAGGCTACAGGTATTTTCATAAAAACAGCAAGATGCTATGTCCCTTCTTACTAGGTTGACATTTGGGGTAAATTCACTGTCGCCAGACTATTCTGGCCACCATGGTAGTCTACAGTGCTACAAACTTTGGGGGGGGGGTAGGTGAGTGGAGGAGGCCAGTTGTGTTTCAGAACATTCTAGATGAAGCAGCTATAAAAGCCTGCCTGCAGCTCACTTGTTTACTGTTCTGTATAATGAGTTGGGATAAGGAGCACGGGGCCCTGCTAGCACACCTCCCTGTGAGCACATGGGGCCCTGCTAG